ATCCCCGGCGCCAGGGGACCGGGAAGGAGCGAGCCGGGGCAAGAGGGCGGGGTCTCTGGGAGCTTGGCGCCCAGTCCGAGCCCCGCCCCCGTCCTCGGCCCGGGAGTCGCTCCCGGGCCTCGCTGTGAACCCTCAGTGAGTCGGGGGCGGGCTCCGAAGGCTTTGGACTGGGGAGAGGTCCGCGGTAGACCTGGAGCGGATTCCGGGGACCCCTGTGCTTGCACGAGGCGGTTTCGTTCAGCGACCAGGAGCACGGCTCAGTTTCTGGGCCCAGACAGCCCGGAACTGCGAATGACAACGCGTGCTTTGGAAACCTGTGGCACACACCTTCCGCCCCTGCCCAGGGGACAGCCGCGACCCTTTGTGGCAGGTGCCGGCCACGGAACCGGGTGGAGAAAACCCGAAGCACTGAGGAGAGCAGAGGGCTGTCCTGGGAGGGTTTAGACTTTCCTGGGTCTGAATCGTGCCCGTCGAAGAGGCCTGGGGCACAGAGGAGCGTGGGGGTTAGACTGCGACCCCTCACTCTGCAGCGAACAGACCAGAGGCGTCTCCGGGAACAAAGGAGATTGTGAGGAAAATCGTGAGACGCTGGGTGGATGTGGGCACACAATAAGGAAGTGACTTCCTCTCTTTCTGCTTTCTCACGGTGACTTGAGAAACAGGCTTTCGTTCCTCTTTGCTAACTGAGTAAGAGGGTTGTTTATCTAGCAGAACCTAGGAGAGTGAATAAGCAGATTTTGCTGCTTAAACGTAAAGAATGGAGCGGGCGTTCAGCTTGGGTCCACCCTGCGGGCTTGCCAGCACACCAGCTGGAGGCCTCAGGAGGTCTGGAGCGCCTGCACCCGCTTTCCATCCTGCCCTCTATGGTCGCATCTTTAGGCAATGACAGTGGCAGGATGGCGTGCCGGCCAAGCGGCTGCACGTTTTCCCGTGTCTGCTTTTTCCCTTAGCACTTAGAATTATCTTCGCGCTCCACCTAGTTGACAGCCCTGGTGGGCAGCAGCGGCAGGATAGCTAGTGTGATACATCCTCTGACAACGGCCAGAGAGGTCAGAGAGGACCTGACGATGCTTTTCTTTTTTTTTTTTTTTCAGAAATGTCTAAACCCAAGTACTGACATTTTAAAATTTTCTAATGAATATTAATTTTGTAAAGATAGATTAGTTGATACCACATATCCACAAGTGTCACATACATAGTTGTAAATAGGGCCTTCAGTTTGGTGGTCATTTTATGACGTGAAGGCTCCTGCCTTTGAGGCTCACAGGCCTCTTTGAGCATATAATTGAAGCTGTGGACACTCTCCCTGGATCAGTGTCTCCCAATCCTGTATTAGTCTCAGGGGTCCCTGGACCCTGAAGGCCATCTGGTGAGCCCAGATGGGTCTTGATTTTTTTAGTTTTGTTAAAAGTCAACTTTATCAAGACATAATTTTGTACGACGAAAGGTGCCATTTTCAGCGCATCACTCACGGGTTCATACACACCTGTTTGAGCACCAGTCCAGAACACTTTCTTCACTTGGTATTTTGAAATTGACGGACAAGAAGTTGCAAAATTATCCCATGGAGCCCCATGAACCCTTGGCCCAGAGTCCCCCAGTGGCAACACACCTCGTACGAACATGGCGTGACGTTCGAGCCAGGAACTTGGCACTGGCAGATGCTGTCGGCGGAACGCGGGCCTGGCTCAGTGTTCACGTTTTCCGCCTGTGTGGGGAGGGGGCACATCTGTGGCAGTGTTCTCACACGTGTGGATTCTTGTAGCCCCCCAGGCCAGTTAGGGCATGGCTGCCTCACGGCCCAGAGATCTCCCTCGTGCACCCCGTGCCAGGCAGCTCCTAATCTGTTCTTCAGCTCTGTATTGTGTTGTCATCATACATTGGCTAAGTAAACGTACTGAAACAGCGACTCCACTGCCACTTGCCCACTGTGCGCTCGCCCTGTGCTCCACCTGGACGGGGGCCTGGTCAGCGAGACCCAGGTCAAGCCCACTGGGTTCTCGGAATCCCTAGCTCGGCTACCTAAGAACAAAGTGACGGTTTCGAGAAGGAAGGCATTGATGGAGACCACGGTGTCGCTGATAGCACGTGTCGTGCAGAACCTCCCCGTCCCCCGCCGCCTCTCCCCACCAGGCTGTACGAAGTCGGCTCTCACAGGCACCCTTGGTCCTTGGTGGTTGGATCACCCTGTAAACGGCTGTCCCTTGGCCAGCCTCCAGGGTAGGGGAGGCTGTGTGTGAAGCGTGGCCGCACTGGGCTCAGAAAACACTCCTGACCCTGTGTTGGGGGCTCATGGGGACTCTGTCACAGCTTCTGGGTGGAACCCCCACTCCACTAACTTCCTGCTTTCTGATCACTTCTCCAGCCATCGATGAGTTCAAGCCCCAGGATGCCACCACCAACCCGTCCCTGATCCTGGCTGCTGCACAGATGCCAGCCTACCAGGAACTGGTGGGGGAGGCCATCGCCTATGGCAAGAAGCTGGGCGGGTGAGCGGCCGGAGCACCCCACACGTCTGCGGGGTGGGAGTGAGCGGGGCCGGGCTCGTCCCTTGTCCCCTCCCAGACTAAATCTTATACTCAGGGAAGGAAAACTCTTTTCTTGTTTGTTTTTATCAATTTTACTTGTGTTACTTACAGGCAGTAAACTATACCCACTGTAAGTGTGCAGTTCAGTGAGTCCTGTATCCAGGAATGGGGTACCCCTGTGAAAACCAAAAACCACCCCAGTCAAGACGCAGAATGTGTGCCGCGCCCAGCAATCTCCGGGCCCTGGCAGCCACCGACCTGCGTTCTGCCATTTTTACCTTTCCACAGCTTTGTTGGAGTAAAATTCACTGAGTGCACAGCCCCGTGCTGGGGGAGGCTTTATGCAGTGATGCAGCCATTGCCACAGTCCCATCCTGGAATGTCCCCTGGGGCCTGCCTGCAGTCAGTCCCTGCTCCCTCCCCCAGGCAGCCACACTGGGCTGTGGTCTCTAGAGGTCTGCCTTTTCTAGATGTCATTTAAAATCCTCATCAGGGTGATAACGGTCAGCGGAGAGTGGTGCCCACAGTGGGCGGTGACCCTGGGCAGGAGCCCCGCCGCAAGCAGCTCCTGCCTGCACCACGCGCCCCGAATCTGAGCTGGCTTCTACCACAATTGTTCTCGCCCCGCCCCCACTGCATCAGTGAGGCCTCTGTGCTCCTGAAACTGGGTGACGAGGTGGCACCTTTGCTGCTCACTGGCCTCCTCCCTCATCCCGCTGCCCATGGCCAGAGATCTGGGTATATGCAGTGGGCAAGTGGAAACCCTGAGAGAGCAGTCGGTTTGGGGGCATCACCGTCACCTCACTCGTCTGCCCAGGCAACCTGGGGGTGGACAACCATGTGAATGTGTTCAGTGCCCCCAGACCACACCCCCACACGTGGCTGAGGGTGGTGGATTTCACGCCACGTGTATTTTACTGTGATAAAGTTATTTTTAAGAAAAAAGATGGAATGACAGGAGTGTCATAAAAGTAATAGAACTGTTTTATAGAGTTCTATGCACGTAGACCTCACAAGTGAACCAATCTGTTTCCCCTGGAATTTCAGGTCTCAGGAGGAACAGACTCAAAACGCTACTGATAAACTTTTCGTGCTCTTTGGAGCAGAAATACTGAAGAAGATCCCAGGCCGCGTCTCCACAGAGGTAGATGCGAGGTAAGCGCAGGGGCGGGCAGGTGGCTGCTGGGCCCACGGTGTCCCCTGGTGTCCCGCCGGGAGCGGGTCCCCAGCCGCGTTATCAGTCCCGCAGAGAAGCGTGATCGTGACACAGGGCTCCAGGCTGCTCCCTGAACCAGGGCACTGCCACCACTGGCTCTGTCCTGGGCAAGCGTCCCTAGGTGAGGCCACCTCTCACGTGGGCCCCTGGCTCTTGCAGGCTCTCCTTTGACAAGGACGCCATGGTGGCCCGAGCCAGGCATCTCATTGAGCTCTACAAGGATGTTGGGGTCAGCAAGGACCGGATTCTGATAAAGCTGTCCTCCACCTGGGAAGGAATTCAGGCAGGGAAGTAAGTGTGCCCCTTCCGCTGCCCGGCTGCCAGGGCCAGGTGTGCAGGGCTGAGGACGGGACCCACGAGCCCCGCAGGTGCGCCTCCGCCCACCGCGTCAGGCGCGCTCACGCTTCAGTCGCTTTAGCCCGTGCAAGCCCCGCAGAGGAGACGGGCCCAGAGCGGGAAGCCCTCGGCTCTCACTTGCAGCCACACCGTGGCCGCTGTGCGTGGGGCACTGCAGTCTGTGCCCGTGGTCGCCTGGTCCACTCTGGATGCTCCACTTGAATGCAGTCATGTGGCACGTGGCCTTCTCCATCTGGTTTCCTCCCTTGGCACGTGTCAGGGCTGTGTTCCTAAGGCAAACGTCCCAGTGTGTGTTCATCCTTGGACAGCTCTTCCATTCTCGGGGGCTTTGCGGGTCTTGCCGCTGTGCACGTCTGTGTAGTTTTGGTGTGGATGTGTCACCTCTTGTGCATACATACCCAGGAGTGAAGCTGCTGGGTCATGGCCACTTGGTGTCTTACTGTGAGGGGGCTGCACACTGTCCCTCACCGCTGCTGTGCTGTCTGCCAACTCCCCATGTGGGTATGGGCTCCGCAGCTGCACGTCTTAATGGCCCCATGTGGCCACTGTTCCCTGGGGTGGTAATTTATTGGAAGGGCCCCAGCAGCAGCTCAGCTGTCACAGTGCACACCCCACCGCATGGCCACTGCCCCGTCCTCGGGGCTCAGCCCCAGGATGTCTGGGTGAACCGAGGCAGGCTTGCCCAGGAAGGGCAGGAGTGAGCAGTGGGGCGGGGGGGTGGGGGCCTAGACAGGACAGTGGTCAGTGATCCTCGGTGGTGGCCTGCCCCGTGGAGCCTGCAAAGACGGGAGGGATCGCAGTCCATGGTGCAGGTGTTAGCTGGGGACGTGCATGGTGGCTCTCGGGACCTCTCCTGCCTTTGTCCTTGTTGGGAAGTGTGGGTTTGATGAAAATCCCAATAGCCAGAGAGAACCTGGTGCAGGCTCCAGGTTCGCGCGGATGTCAGCTGATGAGTGGAGCAGCTCTATTCCGCATGGCACTGGGTGGGACGCTCACGCGCCCTGTCCCCTCCCCACAGGGAGCTCGAAGAGCAGCACGGCATCCACTGCAACATGACCCTGCTCTTCTCCTTCGCCCAGGCCGTGGCCTGTGCCGAGGCGGGGGTGACGCTCATCTCCCCCTTCGTGGGGCGCATCCTCGACTGGCACGTAGCCAACACGGGCAAGAAAGCGTATGAGTCCCTGGAGGACCCAGGTGAGTGGCACTTTGGCAACGGGGCCAGTGTGGCAGTGGACGGACACCTGGAGTGCACGTACCACAGCCACCACCTGGCCGTCCCCTGCAGGAGTGAAGAGTGTCACCAAAATCTACAACTACTACAAGAAATTTGGCTACAAGACCATTGTCATGGGCGCCTCGTTCCGCAACACAGGCGAGATCAAGGCTCTCGCGGGCTGTGACTTCCTCACCATCTCCCCCGCACTCCTGGGTGAGCTGCTCAAGGACGGCAGCAAGCTGGCGCCCACGCTCTCGGCCAAAGCAGGTGAGCCCCCGGCCCTGGCTTTGGGCCGCTGGCACCCAGGTCACCAAGGGTGGTGACGGAGCCAGTCTACGTCCTATGCACTGGGGGGCTGGGATCCAGGGGTGCAGCAGACACGGAAAGCCCCACTGCATGTCCCCCACAGCCCAGGCCAGCGACCTGGAGAAGATCCACCTGGACGAAAAGGCCTTCCGTTGGCTGCACAATGAGGACCAGATGGCTGTGGAGAAGCTGTCCGATGGCATCCGCAAGTTTGCTGCCGACGCCGTGAAGCTGGAGCGGATGCTGGCGGTGAGTGCCCCAGCTGGGCAACGGCAGAGTGGCGCTTCCCGTGGAGCTGGTGGGTCGGCTCCTGGCAGCCCAGGCACTGACAGGTGGTGGACCTTGCTGCAGGCGGACCAGCGGAGAGCCCCCTCCCTCTGTCCCTCGAGCAGGAGGCGGCCTAATGTTCTCTGCCATCTCTGTCCTCCTCCAGGAACGGATGTTCAGCACAGAGAATGGAAAATAGCACAGCACCTGAGGCTGGACCCCATTTCTAGCCGCACATACCTGGCAATGAATCTTGCATTTCTGACCAATCAGCGGATTGGATTTCTGATTTCACATAAAATTTTGCCTAATACAATAAAGCAGTCACTTTTTCTGTGCAACACTTTGTTTCACTATGTGGCCTTTGTCTCCTATGCCACCGTTTGACCTCCAGTTGGGCCCCACTGAGACAGGGCTGGGTCAGGAGCCCCACAAGACCCCAAGCAGGTGACAGCTACAGCCCCTCCTCTACCCCACTTCCACCTGCTGCTGGGGGGACCACCTGAGCTCTTTGTCAGTGCCCAGACCTCCCAGTGGCTCCCAGACAGGTAGGGTAAGCTGCTGGACATAGGGTGCAAAGGGCCCCGGGGCCTCCTGCCTCGTGTCCAGCAGTGGTGGTCTGAGGCACTGGCCAGCAAGACCCCAGGGTCCTGTGCTGGTCAATGGCGCCACCTAGTGGGAACAGCATGACGTGCAAGATCCAGGTCATCTGGATGTATTGCAGCTTGCCAGCCTGGACTTTGCTGAGGCTCTACCTGCAACAAGCTTCACTGGGAAGGGCTTGGTTGAGCTGGTGGAGGCTGTGCCGGGTGGACTGACGGGATGGTCGTCCCTCTCCCCAGGAACCAACCCTGTTCCTGGAACAGCAAGGCAGAGGCCAGGGTCTAGGTAAGAGTGCTCACAGGCCCACCTGCCCAGCCTCCCAGGTGTGGGAGACCAGGCTGACCACTCCATGTCTGTGCAGGTAGAGGCTGGTGTTAGGGACAGCTGTGTGGGGACACTGCCCTAATATCAGCAGGCAGCCCCTTTCTCTTCCCTTCCCTAGGGGGCCCAAGTCAGGGCTCCTGTTCTCCATAGCTGTCTGCAGAGACACCAGGCACCAGCTGGGCAGGGCCAAGTCTCCCTTCATCCTGCTCAAAGAGAAGGGTCGGGAGGCTAGTGGCTCTGGAGTGGCTGCCACCCTACCCAAGAGCTCTAGGGACGGGCCTGGCCCATCCAGGGTGCTAAGCAGACTGCCTTTCGGGTCAAAGGGGGCCAGCTAGGGTGTCCCAGAGCAGTGGGCTTCACGCCCAGCCTAAGCCTGCCTCTGCTGGGTGCTTCCCAGCCCTCAGGTCTGTGTGCATGGACTTGGAGATGGGTGCTGGTGGCCGCACAGGTCTAAGTCCTAAAGCCATCGTGTCGGACTTGCACAGGCACACCAGGTCGCCTCGTCCGCATCCCCCCACTGTGCACAGGCACTGCCGTGGAGAGGCAAGGCACCACCAGACCGAGGCTTCTGTCTGGCAACACCCAGGACACCTCAGGCCTGAGGATCTCCACCCAAACTCTCCCACCCAGCCAACATGGGCACCACGTTCCTGCCTGTCCCCTGTCCCTTGCCAATGCCAGGAGTCCCCAGCTCCCACTTCACCCTGTGGCAGGAGGGCCATGCCGTGCAGGAGGGCAGTGCTCCTGTGTCAGGGGACCAGGCCGAGCGCGCGGGGCTGGGCCAGGCCGACAGCAGAGATGCTGCTGTGCGAGCAGGCAGTGCCCAGCTACCACAAAGGTCCCCTGGTCAGAATAGAGCCTGGCAAGACCTCCGGGGAACCTTGCTGCCTGCCCCTCCACATCGGCAGCCGGGGGCCCGGCAGGAAGTATGTGGGGGCAAAGAGGCACGGCCAGCCCTCTTAACTGCCAACTTGGGCCCGAAGCCCAAATACAAAGGAGGCACCTGTCCACTTGCCCCCGTTCCCACCACAGACAGCCCGCCGCTGTCTACCTTCAGTGGATGGTCCACGCGCATGGAGGCACTCACACCCCTTTTTACACTCAGTGTTTTCCAGGTTCACTCACACTGTACGATGTCACCAGGACCTCATTCCTCTTTGTGGCCAGTGATGTACTGCCACACGGCGGCTGACGCCGCCCGCCAGCCAGGAGCCTCCACGTAGGGGCTGCTGTCCATGCTCATTACTGAGAACACTGCTGTGAACGTTCCTGACCGTTTGGGCGGGGTAGGGAGCAGTGGGGTGCAGTGGGGTTTCTCTCAGGGGGACATCAGGGTCTGCTTTAAACAGCCTGGACGTGTGGGGAACACCAGATGGCAGAGGACCAGGCCCGGAGGCCGCTCTACCTCCTCCAGGGCTTTCGCTCTCTTCCCCGCAGCCTCGTGGGCGGCCCTCGGCCCTTGCCCAGGTGAACAGGCCCCGAGGGCTGGAGGCAGCAGATGGGCCTGGGCACAGTCTTCCCCACACGGACACTGCCCGGCCTGCACCGTCATCCTGGGCCACAGGGAGGCTCAGCCTCTGCTCCTCGACCTGGGCACATGGGGACCCAGAGCCAGCCCAGAAGACTGGAGGGCCAAGGCCACACCCTTGGAGGTATGGCCACTCGCTGGCACCGGCGGCCCCGAGCCCCACCGTGGCCAGTGCAGCGCATCCTCCCCCAGGGCTGATTCGGGGAGGCCTGGTCAGGGTGAGTCGCTCTTGCGGAGGCCATCGGAGGTGGTGGTGTCGCAGGCAGGCAGGCTCAGCGGGGAACGCCTCACTTCCTGCAGGACGGACCCAGGTCAGGGCTCTGGGCCCGGCTGCGGCCCAGCGGAGGAGCTACGCACGTGCCGGAACCCGCCCGCCGCCCGGCCCCTCACCGGCTGCCACAGAGGGAGAGCAGGTTCTGCACGGCAGGGACGGTGGAGCCGGCGTTCTGGCCGGTGACGAGGTGGCGGTCCAGCACGACGTGCACAGCGTCCGGCTCGCTGGCTGCAGGAGGCCCCGGGGACACAGGCCTCAGGTCAGGCCACACGCAGCACGGCCCCCTGACCCACCCCCACCCTCTCCGGCCATGAGCTCCAGGTCAGTCTGCCTGGGCCTCAGAGCCACCGACCACCAACGTCTGCTGGACTCTCGGCTCCAGGAGGCTGGCCTGGCCAGCACCGTCCCCGCCCGCCACCTGTAAGCACCGGCCCAGCTCACCACTGAAGCTGGCTCCCGCGTCCTTCACAAAGTCCTCCACAATGAGGGGCAGGCGGGCGAAGCCAGGCGCCCTGACGAGCTCGTACACAGAGGGCTATGGAGCAAGGGGGTACCGCCTCAGTCAGGCAGGTTCAAACCTGGGGGGGGCCGTGCCCCCAGTGTGGAGTGGGGTGTGTGACATGGAATTCAGGGTCCACCAAGGGGCTTCTGTGTGACAAGGCCATGCTGTCCCCACTCCATCACCAGGGCACACAGGTGACCAGAATGAGCTGAACCCCTCAGTGAGAGGAAGTGCTGGGGGCCAGGGCCCATGAGTGGGGTGGGGCATAGCCACAGCCCCGCCCCCACCTCCTGAACCTGCACCACCTGCCAGCCCCCCACAGCGAGACCTCAGTCCTTGCCGTAGAGGCCCCTAAATCTGTCCCAGGACCCTCACCCTGGGGTCTCCTCCCCACCAGGTACACCCCACCTCTGAATGCCGACATATTCCAGCTCAGTCCTGGCCCCCCCACCCCTGCAATCAGCCCGGCCCTCCCCCGACATGGCGGTCCTACCCCTTGGACAGGCACAAAAGCGCGGGCCAGAACCCCCTCCCCATGCACACACAGGGAGCACCTCCCCGCCCGATCCCCTCCGCACGCTCACAGCCACGTCAGCAAACCAGGGACCCTGTCCTTGCCCACGGTGGTCAGCAAGGAAGAAAGGGAGAGGACGCAGACAGCGCAGACAACTGCCAGCCTGGTGCCACGTTTTTTAATTCCTATCTGGGCGAGTGACTGTCACCCCCACCACAGGTGACCATGGGGCCCCACAGGGACCCAGCCTGTCCCTATGCAGCCAGGCCTGACTCCTGCCTGGGCTCCTCTGTGCTGTACTCACCCCCGTCACACTGTAGCCCTGGAACACCCAGGACCTGTCCTCATTGGTGGCGCAGCAGAGGGCAGCAACGCCATGGCCAACAGCGCAGATGGGCTCTAAAAGCAACGGGCAAGGAGGGGCCTGAGGCCCTGGGTGCCAGGCCTGGCCCCCGCCCCTCGCCTCGCACTCCCCGGCAGAGCTGGAGGCCGCCGCCCCACCCCCGACCCGAAACCCTGCGATGTCGCATCAGGGACCAGGCTGTTCCCAGCTCAGGCCTCAGGCCCTGGTGGCTGAGAAACTGGCACAACGGGTCACGAGGTGCTGCAGGCCTGTGTGCCAGCCCAGGAGGGTGCCACCCGCCGACCCTCAGGATAGCCTGCACTGCCCCAGGCCCGCGCTCAGCCTCCGATGGCAAATGTCTCACGGCATGACGGGCACCGGCTGTCACTGCTGTCACCTAGAAACTTCCCACTTCCTCTGACTGCAGTGGGAAAGGCGCCCGGCCCTCCTTCCATCCCTCAGAGCCTCCAGAGACAGAGTCCGCACCCTGCCAAGCGGTCACCCTGGCTCCGGGCCTTTCCCCTAGGAGACTGCCTGGCACAAGTGCGTTCCCACGGTGGAGGTGGCCGGGAACAACGGCTGCCTGTTCCGACAGCACTGGGGGCAGGAGGCCCCGCTCGACACCACAAAGGATGTAGTGTGGAGCCCGGGCTCTGTCTGCTGGCCCCAGTGAGCGTCCGGCAGGCGGGCCCCTTGCAGCCCCGCGCCGAGTGGGACGGAGGCCAGGGCTCCGCGGAGCAGCCCATCTCCCACCCCCACTGGCCTCGAAGCCCGGCCTGGACACCGTGCTTTCTCACCGGAACGCAGCCAGAGTCCTGCCCGCCCGCTGCGGAGGGGCCCGGGGCTGGTAGTGGAGGGCACACAGGCCGGGGGGAGGGGGCGCCCCATCTCATGCGAGGGACGGCTGGATAAATGTGTCCGCTCGCTGCTCAGAATCCCCAGGACTCTTCACATCTCAAGTGACTAGGGTTTTCAGGTCCAGAACCTGAACCCACACCCACACTGGCTCCACACGCACCCCAGACAGGCTGCTTCCGGCCTCTCCTCCCTGCTGATAGAGCCCCCCCACAGCCCAGTCCCAGGGGTCACCTACTGCTCTCGGAGCGGAAGTGCTGCAGGATGCGGGCCAGGGAGCCACTGCTGGCCAGGTCGGCCAGGGCCCCCGGGCAGCTGGGGATCAAGAGCGCATGGTACCGGGCACCTAGGGGAGACCACAGGCCGGTCGGTCACTGGGGCAAGGCCACCAGCCAGGACCAGGCTCTCCTCGAGCACCCCAGCTCCTCTCTGCCAGACACCCTGCTTTGCCACTTTCCTACAGCGCTAAGGTTCCCGAAGCCTAGGCACTATTCCTAACTCCCATGTCTCCACGTGCCGCCACCTCCCCCGCAGATGGAGCTCGGGAACTCTGGGCCCAGGATGCACGACGGAGGCAACCCTGGACAGTCACAGCGCCTGGCAGCATGCCCTGGGGTGCTCCGGGAACAGAGTGAGGGGGCTCTGGGGGACCACAAACCCACCGGGAACCCCACGCCCCCAGCCACGCGGTCTCAGGCGCTCACCATCAATGGACTCGAGCTTGGCGGGGCTGGAGTAGGCCTTAAGGCGGAAGTCCTGCACCCAGCGCGCATTGCTCTCATTCACATCCACGAAGTCCATGGTCTTCCCCTGCCGGGGTCCCGAGGCCAAAAGTCAGCGCAGGACACCCCCTGCTGGCTCAGGGATGCTCAGAAACGCTGATGAGGGTTGGGGACAAAGGTACCTGACAGTCCAGCCCCCTTACTGAGTCTCAACACACCCCGAGCTCCCAACCCCACCTGCCCCTCACTGATCCTCAGTCTCCCACCTATAAAGCAACAGCCATTGTCCCACGCACCTTGGCGGTGACACTGGAAACATGCAAAGTGACAAACACAAATAATATCACTGTTGTGATCCCCGGGGTACCACACCACCGGAGGGACACAAACCCTCCTGAAGGTCTGTGCCGTCCTTGTTCTCGTGTGTAGACATCGACCCAAAATGACAAGCTTCCCCTTGTCACGGGTGGGGCCAGAGCATGACGATGCCCCTGGGGTCCTGGCTGCTCGGCCTGAGCCAGCTCGCTCAGGGTTACAGAGGCCTCAGGCGTGCACTCCTCCCACGAGCAACAGGTGCTCCTGGCCTCACCCCCAGAAAGAAGGTGGAGAGGGGGTGGCTAGCCTTACCCCAGGGGTGGCAACCTGCAGGTTGAAGGCGGCACTGGCCAGCGTGAAGCAGTGGAGGAAGGATGGGGCCGACACACCTGCAAAGAAGACAGCCCCAGGTGAGTGCAGGGCGAGGCAGCCCAGGGCTTCTCCTGCTCCCAGAGCGACCCGAGCAGCCCCTCCCCCAGCTCATGCCCGGGCTCATGCCCTCACCTGCCACAATGGGCTCTCTCCCGGCCTGGCCACCGGAAACACTTCCAGAAGGCAAACCCAAGCGTGCGGTTCCCTTACACTCAGCTTACCTGCTCACTGAACCAACAGGGACTGAGGCCCAAGTTAGGCAGGAGTGGGAACAACGGAGCCCCCACCCGCACTGTGTTCATCTGGGAAAGGTGCGGGGGAGCAAAGCCTGTGTTTATGAGGCGCCGGCATCCCAGCCCCATCCTAGCACGCTCCCAGCCCGGAGGGTTCTTGGCTGCTTGGGGCTGCTGGCCCCCCTGAAGTCTACTCCCAAAAGGCTTGATCTGCATCTCTCCACATCTATTTTAATCCTGAGACCCAACCCCTAACCCTCATTTTCATCTTTATTCACTTGTATATTAGCACGTGCTCACTAAAAAGTCCACATGTGGAGCAAACAATCTCTCCAAATGCCCCATGCCCCCCGCCCCCCACCCCGACTTTCCCGATTCTGCTCTCCAGCTCCTCGAATCCTCACTCCTCCATCTACTTCACCCCAAGGACCCTAAAAGGACTCGGGAGGGCCCACTGGTCCTGCCCAAAGCCTAGTGGTCTTTTCAGAGTTGTGCCCTCACCCCACGTCAACATCCCCTGCTCCTGGCACAGCCACTCATTCCAACCAGCCACCTGGGGACCCTCCAGGACTGAGGCCACTCTCAGTAGCTCCTCCCACCCATGAAGTTCCTATGGGGTGGGGGCAGGGCCTTGACTCCTCCTGCCTGTCCCCCAGGGGCAGCACCACCGTGACCTGATGACCCGCAATGCTCGCTCCCTCATCCACTTAAGCAGGTACAGAGGTTGAGAAGCAGACCAGGCTCCACAGGCAGACCCAGGTCTTGACCTTGGCCCTCAATCTGTCTGCGATGGGACCTTTGGCTCATCACTTCTGTGACGGGGCAAGCACAGCTGAGGACCTGGGAAGTGCCCAGAACCACTTCCCTTCTGGGCCGGCCCTCAGCACGAGGCCCTGCGTGAGACTCAGTGCCAGCAACGGCAGGCCCCGTGAGCCCGACGCCAGGCTCTCCCGGTACCCTCACCACACGGCAGGGCAAAGGGATGCTCCACACCTGCACACGCCCCGCCCCGCCAGGGCAGTGCCCCCTGCAACCCCCCAGGCCGGCAGGCAGAGGGGTGGGTACTGAAGAACGCAGGCTCATGACCCTCCTGTTCGGAAAGGCCCATGCTCCCAAGGCCATGGCTGTCTCACCCCCAGGTCTGCGGGAGCCCCCACCTCCTGAGAACACCCACTGCCCCTCACCACACCCGGCCCCGCCCGTCCCTGCGGGAGGCGGCCCCTGGCGCGGGGCGGCCCGCCTTCTCCCCCAGGTGGACATCCGCAGCGCACTTGCAGGCCGCCACCCCAGGATCCCATCTCTTCGAACAGAAACGCGGGCCGCAGACCAGGGGCGCCTCCCGGCTGGGCCCCAAACAAGACTCCAACCATGGTGCCACTGCTCCGAGTGCGCGGGCCTCGCGTCTGGGCGCCTGCCCCGCCCTCCGCCGCCGTCCCTCTCCCCC